AATTCATTTTAGATGTTATACATCGATTTGTACTTGAACACAAAAGAGGAAAAAAGGCAAAACTTAGCTTTTTCCAATTGTGTACTAATTTCAAATATATAAAGCCTGTGATAAAACGATTGCACCTTAACATTTTGACCAGTTTAGACTATTTTTCTTTTGTTTCTTTTTTTAATATTAAATAGTTTTTTTATAAAAGTTCTTAGAAGCCATACTAATCCAAATTTCAAACTTTGTGCGAAAATTATAAAAATTCCAGTTTCATGAAAATTCGAAGCTTTATTAGAATTTCTAGAAAAATGTTAAGTATACAGTTTTATAGCTTCTAATACCATGTCCCCACCGGCGCTAACCACGTGGTTATGGCTATTGAGTTGGTTATCCCGATAACCCACTTGATTTAGCGTAGTTTCGCCATATAAAAATTACAGCACTTAACCATTTCACTGAGACGGTTAAAAGCTAACCAACTCGAAACCACGTCGAAAGTCTGATACAACCCTGTGTTTTCCCGCCATCTGTGGGTCATTAGCGTTGAAATGTAAAGAATTCGTTCCCTACTAGTGTTTGGACTCAACTAAAATCAGATTAGATTTATCCGGTTTTTAAAACAAATTGAAATCTACTCCTCTACTCCGCTGGACTTCAAATCTATTCCGTTTTTTTCATTCATGTTATGCCCCTCTTGGGGACGTTTTTTGAGTGTTCACCATCGTTTTCAGTAAAAAAATTGAAAAGTAGCCAAATCTCACTGTTGAAAAGTAACTCTTTCATAGCAATGCGTCAATAAATTAACTTCGTTATTTTTTGACGTATGGCGTACAAACTGGCGGATGCAGAACTTTACTTAAGTTGTTAAAAAATATATGTAGAATGAAATTTACATAAAGTAGCAAAGGTTTGCCTTAAAAAAAATTAAGTGTTAGATACGTTCTACTTCATAGAAAATGCTAAAAATTACCTAAATATGTAACATATTATCCTTGCATTGCTTCGCGTTCTTATTTTGCATGAATAGAAAATATTTTAGTCAAACAATTAATGTCAGAAACAAAAATAAAAAATTCAATCTAGTACGGAAAATTTGTTTTTGGTCCGATTTTTGCAGCGATTTAGTCCTGAATCGAGGTTTGGTTGTCCGAACACTGTTCTTTACATTTGTACTGTTTTATAAACCTCAAACCGCAGTGTGGACACCAATAGTTAGTGATGTGGTTAAGTTCGATTCGAGATGGTTAACTTTTTGGTGGGGACATGGTATAAGAACTTTTATAAACAATTATTTAACATTAAAAAAAGAAACAAAAAAAAATAGTCTAAACTGGTCAAAATGTTAAGGTGCTATCGTTTTATCGCAGGCTGTATGTAAGGACATTTAATTCAATACATATTAGATGTTATATTTTAATTGTTAATGTTACATATTAATTCAATAAATATTAGATGTTATACATCCATTTGTACTTGGAGAACCATTTTTTATTACAAAAAGTACCGTCTTTAATTAATTAACCACTTGACTCTTTTAGTTCTTTATAAACTAAAGCAAAAATTTTGCATTCAATAATGCGCAGATTTTCTTGGGATATATTGGCATTAGAAAATTTTTTTGCCAGGTTTTCAAACAAAAGTGATGTTGAATCGCGTTCTTTTTCTTGTTCGCAAGGAATACTAGCTAATTTTTGTACCGTTTCTGAACATTGTTTCATTGCTTCCTTAAAAGCCGAGGTCACTTCGGTGTCTACCTGTTTCTTTGTCACAACTTTTCTTGGCGGAGGGTCTTCACTTTCATCTTCATCCACGATTGTAGACATGGAGCAATCCACAAGTCTTCGTACACAATATCCGATTCAACATTTCCCACCGTTCTACAAAAAATACAAAGAACACAAACAAGGGGGAAAAGTTTAGTTGTTTGTACAACGATTTAGGGGTGGGTGGCGGAGGGGGCAGGGCGTGGCCCCCAAATCCGCCCGCCTAAACGAAAGAGGATGGACCGATCTTTATGAAAAGTCACCACTCCCCATAATCGTTGTACAAATAACTAAACCGTACCCAAAAAAGGCCTTAATTGAATAATAGGCAGTTTTCATGTATTTTAAAAAGAGATTCCATATTTTTCATATCATATCACAGTACATACATAAGAATACCCAATGTGCACAACCGTGGGTTGGAAATGAATGTATGTACATAAGTGTGTATGTACTTATGTATTTACTTATGTATGTATGTATATATACGGATGCTTTAAACAACACTATTTAGAGTAAGCGCATACTTACGGTCTAGAATCAGTGTAGTTGTCCAAAAATGTTAGCATTTCCATATATTTCCATCTTTTAACAGGATTGGGAGCGCCACTTCCAGGCGCAAGGAGCTCAGAACGCTTTCGTTTCTTATGCAGCGTTTTAGCTGCATTTAAAATGCAACATTTAGCACTTTCGAACATATTTTTTCGAAGAACGTTCATGCTATCGCATTTAGCAAATGTACATTTACGCGAGTTCGAAACCGTATGCTTTTGACAAACGGCCGTGTTCCTGTCGCTTATTCAGATCCGTATCTATCACGATCAATTCGCACAGAAGATAATGTGCAAAAAACCCTACTGAAAAGGGAAAAAGAAATTTTAAACAAAAAGTTCAATACAAAAACTTTAATTGTTTTAACCATACCCGAAAATTTGTTTGTGTATATTTTCATTTGTCGGTGCTATCAATTGAAATATCCTCAATTAAATAGGAAAAAACCCAGAGTTGATCACTAATTGAGCCGGATATCTATCAGTTTCATATCGATGTTGAATTCGTGCAACTTTTCTTTTTCAAAATAATGTAAAATAATAAATTAAATCTCGATCCGCGATCACTGAAACGCAGCTAGCAACTGCATACGCGAAAAAGCAATGTTGCCACATTTTCTCATTAAACCATGTTCGAATCGTGGAAATTTTGGAAGATCACAGGGTTGCTTTTGGCATTTAGATTCTTAATGCAAAAATGGAGTTGCATTTAGGAGACGAATTTTGTATGGATAAATGTAAATTTAGAGTAGCATTTAGAGCTAAATGCGCTAAATGTGCTTTTACGCGTAAGCAAAAACAGCCCATTATATGTACATATCTCGGAGCCGATTCCAGCGCTTGCGACATGCATCCGCTGGTAGAAATATTGTTTATTAATAAGTATGTTCCAGCTACTTAACGATTTGCAGGTTTTTACAAGAAACTGTTCCCGTACGCCACCTTCCATAAAGTTTATTAAAGGCGGAACAGGGTTTCCTGTAAATCCTGGAGTACCTGGAGCAGGCCTAATACTTATCTCATGCAAATCACTTGTATATATGTACATACACATGTAAATTCATGTCTACTTCCGGCTCAAATTCAAGGACTGGGCAACTGATTCCCATATTTCCATTTTCTTGTGCACATTTTTGTATACGCGATGTAATAAGTTAAATAAACAATCATTTTGTTTAATTTGTTCGATGAGAATCTCGTTGATATCCATTATTTTGTTTGGCTACTATAAACTAAACAACCGAAGAAACAGCTGATTTCGTCGCGGTTACCATGTTTAAAAAAAACTAACCTATATTTAGAAATGGGGAAATAATAAGAATATATATATAAAACAAAGACAAATTTTTATAAATCATCTTATTTTAAGCCAGATTAAAATAATCAATTATTATATTTTCAAACCAACACAAAATATTCCTGTCAATTTGTTGTTTTCTTCTAAAACTTTGAAACAAAAAAAAACTGCGGCCACCTTTGGCAAGCACTGCCGCATTCGCCCAGCAGTGGCGATAGAATTAAATCTATCGCCACGAAACGCCGCCGAGCGAACTAGGCATTTCGCATTGGCTGTGTTAAATTTCATATACCGGCGGGTGTTCTAATTTTGACAGCGGCAATTTCGCTGTGGTGAGTTCGCCGTTCGCCGGCATTGTGTTTCCACGGTCATTCTTTATTAATTTTAAGTCAAGCAAAACTGTGTGGCAGATTAAGAATATTCAGATTTTTAACTCCAGAATAGTCCTGAAATTCTTTGAATTCTTCTTTTCGTTTTGCACTATGAGCGAAAAATGCGTACACTTCTCGAGCGAATTTCTCGATGTCTAATGGTAGCATTTTGCAACCGCGTGACGCACATAAATGCAGCGAGTGGCAGACACACCTCATCAAAAAAATATTGTGATTAACTTATTTGAACCTCGAAAAAAGTCCAGTTAATTCCCCAGTCATAACACTTGGATTGTCAGTTGCCAATCCAATAACGTTTTCGAATGGTATGTTGAGGCTTAAAATATGGTTTTGAAAGGCCAGAAATATGGACTCAGCTGAGCCCGATTTTAAATGGATGAGACCAAAAAAAAATATCTGCAGTTTTCTGTTGCAATTTATCGAAATATCTCGCAACT